TAGAGAAAGAACAGAGAAGAATAGAGAGGTGTGATGTAAGGAAAGAAATTCAGAATTTAAGCAATGGAGAGAGAAGAGTAGCATAGCAGGTTTACTTACTGAGTAATCAGTGCTCACCCCGTTGTTTTCAATGTTTTTGCAGGTAATAGGTGAGATGCGGTCGCTTGGAACGTCACGCAGCGGAAGGGTTGGGCAACATTGTCGAGTTGATGTTTTGTGACTTTATTATATTTTATAAAGATTTGTATTTAAAGAAAAATTAGTTATGGGCCCATTATTTTGTACTCATCTACATGCACTGTCGAGTTGATGTTTTGTGACTTTATTATATTTTATAAAGATTTGTATTTAAAGAAAAATTAGTTATGGGCCCATTATTTTGTACTCATCTACATGTATATTTTTGTATATATATTTTGTGAATTTTACCGTTATTTTTCGAGTATATTAGCTAGAGAGAGAGTATTACAGACCCCTTCCATTTTTGTAGATCTAGTTGATGTATCTAAGTTCTTGTTATATGATGATGAGTTAGGAAATAATTTATAGCCTATCTAGATTGTTTCACCAGTCATGTCACTAGTTCAAAGCTTACGAATAAAACTATGGTCTTATTGTGGAAAGTAGCTCAGCCAACTGTTCTACCTTGTAGTGTTTTTTGTTTGATTGACTTAGTGTGTTGATGCATGCAACAGAAGTTTATTGAACAGATGCCTTAGGAATTGTAAATCCTCTAATCATGGTTGACAGGCAAAACGTCCCACATTGAGTTTTAATATATATGGCTTAGGCGCATTTCTCATATATTTTCAATAACAAATACAATACGGGTGCCTCTGATTGTTCCAAAATACTATAGACTTAAACATCAAGGATCAGTTTCTATTGCATTTTAATATCAATGAAGGAGAGAAACTTACTTATTGCAGTAGATCTATTCCACCTTCAGTATACATTAAGAAAAATTGACTATGAAAACTAGGGGTGTTCAAAAGAACCGGTTGGAACCGGAACCGGCGGGTACCCTGGGTTTGGTTCCGGTTCCTACCCAGAACCAGTCGTCAATGGGTAGGTTCCGGTTCCAAATTTTTAGAACCGTTACTGTGCGGTTCCGGTTCCGGTTCCGGTTCTTATAGTTAGGAACCAGAACCGTCGGTTCCGGTTCTGGTTCCAAATTTCAAGGAACCGTCGGTTCTGGTTCCGGTTCTGGTTCCTTCAAAAAGTGTAGGGTACCCGGAACCGAACACCCCTAATGAAAACTGTAGTAAAAGCTGGTTTAGTTTGAAATTTTGTTGAAAATTTAAATCTACTTCCGGGAATAAAACCCGTAATAGAAACCTTTAGCTTTTGGTTGAGCATAAACCATGAAAAATTAGCAAATTAATCAGATCAAAGCATAAAACAGGATAAAATGATGTGCCTTTTAAATGTGTTTTTCAAGTTTAACAAAACCCAATTGGCCCTCTTAAGTTATCAAAGGTAAACAAAAAACAGGTCAGATTGTAAGTGCAAGAGAGAGTGATATTTCTTCCTCTTAAATAAAATCTAGGCATAAACTTTTAACCTCTGGTTGGATAGTTGACGATGAATAGGAGGTCACTGAACTTAATTATGAGGAGTTAGAACAAATGTTATATGGAGAAGGATCTATTCTTGTTGGAGTTGCTGAACACCCTTCTTTTTATGATTCAACCGATGGTTCAGAATGTTGGTTTCAAATATTTAAGCAACTTAGTATCTATTTTAAATTAAATTACAAATTTTAACTTATGATTTCTATTTTTTACTGAAATTTATGCAGATGGTGGTGATGGTAATGATGATGATGATGGTGATGATGGTGATGAATTTTGATGCTAGTGTGTGAAGCTCAATCAACATGGAGACGAATTAAAGAAAAAACACTTACACCAAATGATTTGTCATTTAATATGTAATGGATGAACACAACATCATGTTTGGATTTGGACTTTGGACTTTGGATTGTTGTTAAATACTTAAATTATGTTGGGATTGTTATTGAATTTGAACGTTGAATCATGTTGGGCAGTAATTAAGTTGTTATTGTCTTATTAAAAAATGGAAATCTAAAAATCTAAAAAAAAAAAAAAATTAGTGTTGACGTCAACATGATGACGTCACCGGTCTAACCGGTTGACCCGTGACCCGGGTAGCAGAGCGAGTTGCCCTCCAGTCCGGGTTTTAAAACAGTGGTATTTTTCACCATTTGTTGCATCATACCCGTAAAATTCCCGTACATTTTTTGTCGTACCCGTATTTACTAACTAGGATCATTCATAGGAGAATTAGAGATGATTCAAAATAAGTGTTACAAACTTTAAATGATGCATTCTGTTATGCCTAAAAATATAAGGGCTGACGTTAGGACCCTTTAGCCCGCAAAAGTCAGATCATTGGAACAGCCACCGTTTGCATCTATCAGGATAGTGGGCGCGCGTCAGGCTAGTCAGGAGGCTGTGGTGCTCCCACGTGTCCAATCCCTGCTCTAAATCGCGCAAATCACTTTGGAAGGTGGGCAATGTGACATAAAGAAGGATTTGCACGGATAATCCTACCGACTCGCAGATTTAGTGATAATTGCCTCAAGGCATCTGGCTATAAATTGGGAATTCATCTTTCATTAAAGGGATTTACCCCTTTTTCACTCAATTAATTACTCTCTCTCTTTTCTCAACAGTCAATACCTTGTAATATCATTGTAAAGTCAGTCAGCTAATAGCGACCTGACTCCTATCATCAATATAAGCATCAGTGGATGTAGGACTTGCTACCTTAGTATCCGAACCACTTTAAAAATTGTCTTTATTGCATTTACTATCCCCCATCCATTATTTTCACGTGTGATTTCGGGGCTCCCTGCACCATTTTGCACGTGCGTTTCGTTGGTGTAAAATCCAGCATCAACACATTCATAATCTCTTTTTTTTCTGGGAAAATTAGTTTATCAAATGCAAATCAAGAAAATCAATCAACAATCTCAATAAAATATAAAACAAAGAATCTGTTAAATTACAGTAAGGAATGGGTTCTAGAAAAAGGAGAGAAAAGTAATTCTCTAGCTATTGGCTTTTTGGTTCAAAGCTTTCACTTAAATCAATAAAGAAACAAAGGTAAAAAGGAGGAAAGCGGTGCATGCAAAGTGCAATGCAAATAAAGTAGCTTTCTTCTACCTCGAATTCTCATATTAGGAAATAAAATATTATATGGACCAACTTTATAAGTTGACATATCTTAAAGTTCTTCAAGAGAAACTATAAATTAAAGTAGAACATTTTATAGTATGACTAAAACAAGAATCATTCACGTGAACCAACAGGTTTAATGTGGACTGAATCATGACTTTACTTGAGCAGTTCAACTGCTCGCTTATATTACATATGTTCATAATTGTCAGACCAAAGAAATCAATTAAGAGGATGAGATTTTAATATAATTATAATTTTATTTTTTTTTTTGGTAACCGGGGTGTCCGGGCTAATTTCTACATACCTCAACTAATTTTTGGGATCCATTGAACACTCTATAAACCCAAAGGATCAGGATTATCAAATATGGGGAAGATCATAGAGGTGTTTTAGAAAATATAATAATATTTATTTATTGGGATTATCATAATGGTTTTATTTTTACAACTGAGTGGCCTAAGTGTCTAAAGATAAAAGAGCAATAAGAGATTTCATGAGCTCTTAAGTTAAGTCTCCATAGGCCCTAATAGGAATAGCCACTAAGAAGCTTACCCGGTCGTCAACTTCAGAACCTTAGGGGATTAGTTGAGATGCGCTTAAACTAGTTGGACAACCTTGGTCACAAAAAAAAAAAAAAAAAAAACTACATTATGTATAGTCAAATAATCTTTTTGAATTTTGATATTTATCTTTGCTCTCCACGTCTCACAAGCTCTGTTTTAAAACTCGGACTGGACCGACCGGTTAGACCAGGACCCGGCCTTAACTCCGATCCGAGTTAACATAAAAAACTGGAAATAACATAAACCCACTTTGGACTGATAATAGACCGGCAGAACAATAAAAACCATCGGTCCGACCGATTTGGAGCTTAAAATGGTTAATTGTTTTGGGGTTAATCTGATCCCCAATTCCTAAACCAGATTTGCAACATCGTTTTATTCTCTATTTCATTGAGCCACAAGCATTCTTTATTTCATTTCAATACCATTTTTATCTTCTATTATTCTTTACTTACTCTAAAATCTACCATGTAAAGAAGAAGAAGTAAAGGGAGGGGAAGGAAGAAGAAAGAGAAAAGAGAAAAAAGTTAATGGAAAAAGGGGAAAGGGATAGAAGAAAGAAGAATGTGACGGGGAGATAGAGAAAAGATGAGAAAGATGAAAGTGATGGAGAGAGAGAAAAAATAATTAATAATAAAAGTTGCAAGTTATTTCAAATATACAAAGATTCATATGTAAATTTTATAAGTAAATTTGCGAGTTTTTAAACTTATAAGGACTGAAAAATTATTCAGAGATCTGTCTGTTGTATACCGATCAGACCGACCGGTTCAACCGGTTGAACCGATCAACCCGGGAACCAACCCCTTGACCGGGTCAAGGAACGGTCCGGTTTTTAAAACAATGCTCACAAGCTTTCAAGTATTAAATTGTTTGCAAGACATCTATTGATATTAGTTTACATGATATTACAAAATAGATAAATAAAAGAGAAAATTGCAGAACTGATATCTTTTTATGTGGTAAACCATGAAAATAAATATATTTATATCTTTTTGCCACTGAATTTCTTATTTTCATCCTGTCAATTCGGTGTTTGCCCGAGCCTCATACTACATAAAGACAGGAGCCTTATTGCTATGGAAAAATACTTGGAATAGAAAGAGAATTTCATAACATATCATGCTTTGTCAATGCACTTTGGAAACTATGATTAGGTGATGCAAAAACAATTTAGATTTATAACAAAAAAAAAAAATATCAATTGCTTATTTCCACCATAATAAGACTTCAATTACCTGCTGGACAATTACAAATTGCTCAATTTTTTTGTCATGAAACTTAAAATGAGAAGTACATCCAAGAGAACATTACATGAAAAATTCATCCAATAATGAAACAGAACCTCAATATTGCATTATAAAAACTTGTACACAACGTATACATTACAACATACATTATAAAAACTTGTACACAACATACATTACAGCAATAAGAATATAAACTGATGAACTGGTTGTTTTGATCAGTATCAGTACTCTCCTCCGAAGAACTTGCTGTTTTGATCAGAATCAGTATCATTCCATTTTCCTGTTATCCTTTTAATTGTCAAGCACACTGAAGCAAAAGTCCAAAACACATAATATGATCAACAATAATGCATACAAAACAACAAACAAGGAAGCCTAATGTCACGCACTTAACTTCTTTGCTAAGTTCGTGCGGCCTTAACTCGTCGGAAATGAGTTAAGCAGCCTAACGCTCACACAAACTCACAGGCTAAAAGCTTGTAAACGAGAGAGAAGTATAGAGAAAATATAAACTCTGTATATTGATCGGATTCAAGTTATGAACTTTACATGGTGGAGTTGGCTATTTATAGGCTCAAGCTCCTCAAATAAATGTATGACTAAGCTACATGCTTCAGCATTAGAAAACCTTGGGTGTCAAGCATAGGGGCAGCCTTGGAAACGAAGCTCGTGGGTGGCGCGCATGCATGCAACCTTGGAAACGAAGCTCGTGGGTGGCGCGCATGCATGCAACCTTGGAAACGAAGGTGCTTAGTCGCCGAACCTAGCTGCTGAGTCGTTAACTTAGCTATTAAGTTAACTTAACTCTTAAATCTTCTTCACCCGGAAGTCTACTTAATCCGTAAGCAACGTGAACGTGCAGCATGCTTGAGTCGGCAAGCAGGCTGGTCGTGACACTAAGCACAAGACTTCAATGAAGCCAGATCTTCAAAAAAAAAAAAAAAAAAAAAAAAAGAAACAAAACAAGCAGCTGCAGCAAGCAAAAACCCAACCCAGCCACTAAAAACTTCAACAGCAGGTCACGAAAAGTGAAGGGAAACAGGTCAAACCAAGCTGCTGCTCATGGGACACATCACCCACAGCAGCAGAAAAAAAAGCCAACCTCCTAAAAAGGATTACCCCAACTCATAGCAGCCCTCAACCCCTCCACCTGCTTGCACCCTTTCCAACCCAACACCCAAACAAACCCCCCAGCCAACCCAACACAAGCAACAACCACAGCCAAGTAATTTCTTGGACCACCATGATAGAATTAACACTAAATTTATAAAACTCCAGACACAACAAAGAAAAGCTAAAAACAATACCACTTAAAGTAAAAGAACAATTAAAAAATCATTCTTAAAGTGACCACCCCCAACCACACCAACTGCATAGTGCTAAACCATACTTCATATGTAAAGTAAAAGAACAGAGAGAGTGTGATAAAAGTAAAGTGAAGTACCACCAGCTGTATATTGCGAGACCATACTTCAATCAATAATTTGCATCTGCAGGTGATGGCCTGTAAGTGATGGACATCCTGCAATATGGGAGTAGTGAAGTGAAGAAGGAACTAGAACAGGAAGGCACTTGATACTTGCTGTATAACTTTCACTTGAACCGGCACTAGCACTAGAAAGTGACACGATTCCCACATTTGACATGTCAACAAGGTCTTATAGAATCCCTCTTAACAGAACAAGTATTGGGTGAAAGAACTAAACACTTATGGAATAAAGATTCTGGGAGATTCAGGGGGTTCTCGAAACTGGTTTTTGGGGAGGTCGAATATAAAGAAAGTTCAACGATCGAAGCCGAGATAGAAAAAAGAGATAGTAAGTGCTTTGGCTACTAGATGGAACCAGATAGCTCTTTCATCCATGATCCGAGAGTCCCTCCAATATGTCGGCCAGCTTTCTTTGGCAGGTTCACAGTGGAAAGTGGATCAGGCGGATCAAGCTTCAAGGCTTCAAAACATAGATAACTTAGAGAATGAGGGAGAGAGATTGAGCAAAGCCCTAAAAGGTACAGTCATCCAAGCAAGTTTATTTTCATTCCCGCAGTCGGCTAACCAAGGAATTCAAGACTTCAGTAAGCCTACTGGCCTTGCTTTAAGCAATCCTCAAGAATAGCTCTTGTTCTTTCTTCCATTCCACTGCATTCTTGATGCAGGTAGCCAAGCGTGAAGCAAACTTAATCATCTCATCTCTTCGCACTGTCTCGTCTGCAAGCTCCTTCTTTCGCTCCAGCTCAAGTTCCCAACTTGCTTTTGCTAGTTGGACAATTAGCTGCAGTATCTTCTCTTTAAGATTCCCGATATAAACCGGGAGCCAAACCAGGCTCGTAGTCCCTCCACGTCCTCAGGCAATGCACCACGGCTGTTATCTCTTTCTCTGGGACCGCGCCTTTCTGTCTCGTTGAGCTTCCGGCTCTCATATGCTACTGGGTGTCCCTCTTGGACCATTCTCTTCCAATGGCATAGTCTAATGCTTCAGTATGCACTTCGAAAGGTACAGTATAGTCAAGCAACCTCAATACAGGTTCCTCCGTCACGGCCCTCTTCAAGTCCTCAAAGGCTCGCTGACACTTGCCCTATCCCCTTAACTTAAAGTCAATGCCAAGGCTTTCTTCAAAATATCTGTGAGTGGACTTCCTAGAATATCCAATGATGAACCGACGGTATTAGTTCAAAAGGCCAAGAACTGATCGTAGCTCGGTCACGGGGACTCCCCACTCTTCTATTGCCTTCACCTTCTGCTTGTCCATCCTAATCGGCCATCCTCTATCCCAATGCCCTAGGCCCCGGGAGTCACTTCTTTCCACTTTTTTTCCTTCGACAAAGAAGAATGTGACTAGACAATCTAAGACCATTTGATTCTTGTAATTAATTCCATTCTTTCTGCTTTTGCTTTTTCAATTTTTTGAAAAGGATGTGTTGGCAATTGGTGCTTGATGCTTGGTCCAAGGAAAGGAGTCGTCGAGGTCTACCTTCGAATAAGCAATCACAAATGGCCATAGGCTCAGCCCTAGTTCTTAAGGCAAAGTCTCACATGAAAGACAAAACTCAAGCAAGAAATGAGGCAGAAAGAGAGAACCCAGACGAAGGAGCTTCGTCAGATGAAGACGGTGCTAGCGAAGTGAATTAACTAAAAGGCATCGGTTGACTCTCTTTCTAAGAGCAGAGCCAGGAAGAGCTTAGAGGTATTTACTTTTGGTTAAACAAAAGAAGAGAAGTAGAAAAATCCTATGCTAGTCTTTGAACCTTGGCTTCTGCCACTTGCCCGGGTACATATGTTCTTGAATACCGATGAGTTTGCACCTTTTTCGCTATTAGGGAGATTATTATTTTAAGAGTTGTAGGTGAAAAAGGAAATTAACGAAAAAAAATAGGATGAAACCTTTGGCTTTATTCAATCAAGCAATATAAATAAATTACACAAGCTTAATCCCTTGTTTTGTTATTTGTTAATAGATATCCAATGAAAAATTCCCCAGTTGCAAGTACTGTAAATTTTTTAAATTTCTAGATCCAATTACCAATTCTCACCTGATCTTTTATATATGCATCTTATATCAATAAAATTCTAGCAATAAAATCGATTTTTGTACTTATACGTATAGAACATGATATTCTATAGTAGCACCATCATCGCGTGAATCTAGACCGGCTCATAAGTAAATAGAAAATCGAAAATAGTTCCAATCCTTACGGTTGTTCAACGATGAAGAAAGAGCTTCCTTGTCTATTTGTGAATGATTGTTCATTTGCTATTTTAGACCATACACAAGCAGCAAAAAAGGGGAAAGACAGACATATTAAAACCATTAAAAAAGTTCCAAGTTAAAGAAAAAAATTAAAAAACATTTAAATCACTGTTTCCAAAGAGCAAAACAAAAGGATTAACAACTTCAGCTTTAAAAAATAATAACCTGTGAAAATGAATGGAATTTGGATAAGCCGAGAGACGCCACATGAATCGCGCCGGAGAGATGAGTCATGGTTACACTACACTAAGAGGAAAGTTACTCTTAACGCCAGATAATAGATAACAGCCAAAATGATACAATTGGTCATAAGAATACCTTAGGGGAGAGCAGTCGAACTTGAGTTTTGGGCAGGCTGAAAAAGTTTGAACCCTTGCATCACAGTGAAGAAAAGAAACCTTCAACTTCGGTTCTGGGCAGGCTAAAAAAGTTTGAACCCTTGCATCACAGTGAAGAAAAGAAACCTTCAACTTCGGTTCTGCATACGCAAATATCAAAAATCAATTATTTTCACTAAAAAAACAAAAAAACTTTGACCAAATTTACGCAAGTAAAAGGGAAAAACTTTAATAAAATTAAAGTCATTATCTCAAGGTATTGGAATTCCCTTTCAAATTGATAAAGCTACAAGAGCTAAATCCTTTGGCTACTATGACAAAGTTCATGTTGACACACACTCAGGCTTAAAATCATTGATTTCTTTTCTTCATTGAGTCCTTACCTTCTTCATTAATGGTTAAACGTTCTAATTCCCCAAGAGGCACCCACTCGGGCTTAAAATCATACAAACAACGCCTAACCTTCACATCTTCTGCGGCATTTTGGAACCCAGCAAGCAGGAAATAATCATGTTACAGTGTTGGGCTCGTTGGGATGCATTGGAGGAAACGAAGCGAAGGAAACAGTGGTGGGCTTCGAAAAGAATCAGGTTCGCTAATCTTGAAAGGAAATTTGGGGAAGATTTTAGTGTTTGTATTTTGGGGAAACTGAGATTCAATTTGGGATTTGTTTTAGGTAAATTGAGAACTGAAATTTTGGGTTATTTTGATTTTTTTTTTTTAATTTGGGGGAGATGACATGGCATTTTGTTGATGTGGCAATGATTGGCAACTGCCATGCCATGATGTGAGAGACTGATGTGAGAGGTGGTGTAAACCTAGCATTACGAATCTTGTAAGCCTAGTTTCTGGGCTTCATTCAACGCCTAGTATTGAAGCTGCTGTGCTTTTGTTTCACCAGTAAATCAATTAGACTCTGATACGTCCACTTCTTTTCTCTAGCATTAGGATTAAGGGACGCATACACCTCTTCAAACTTTTAAGGAAGCTCCCTTTTCCGTATGCATGTAAACCAAAGGACTGTGTCTATTTTAACAGATTCATCAAGGAGGCCTATCCTTCTCCACATCTAAAATCCCAGTCTCATCAAAGCCAAACCTTCTTGCATCAAATAGAATCCCAAGGGTAACTATATCTGGTTTCACACCAAGTTTTGGTAGTTCAGAGAACAAGAATTTCAAGTGCATAAAATCTTTCATTTTTAAATCAGTAACCAGATAATATTTGCAGTCGATACATTCCAGGAACCTTAGCATCTTCCATCTCCTGGACAACAGCTCCTGCCTCTTCGACTCAAAAGACAAGCATGAGAAAGGATGCGCAAACAACCAACGGTCAGTCCTACCCGTTCTTGAGCAGATCATCCCCCAAATCATCTAATCTACTCGAAAACATATGGTTTTTAATATAAACCTCAGCCAGTTTCCTAATCAAATCCTCCTTTAGAAAAGCATTTGATTTCAGTAAACTTTTATAAACCTTCTCCATATCTTTCAAGGTCCCAATGTAATATAGCTTCAGCACTCAACCAAAGTAGATGAATCTATGCATTCTCTTTGAACGCAGACTTTTTATGCCCCTTCCATTCTTTTGAGCAGACCACCTCGCGCAAACTCCCGAATAAGCAATTATAAGTAACCTGATCAGTGAACACCCACTGATTTCATCTCCTTCAAACACATACAATCTTACTATACATTTATTTTCCATAAGATTGAATAAGACCATCATAGGTATTAGTTTTAGGCTTCAAACCAATTCCCTTCATCTCGTGAGGAAAACAAAGCATCTTCGAACTTGCTGCTTCTAGAATAACCATGAATTATTGAATTGTAAATCTTTAAAGAAGGTTTAAGACCATTATGCTTCATTTCTTCAAGAGCACATACAGCTTCTTCTGTCAAACCCTCTTCACATAACAACCCAATAATCTTTTCATAGTTTGATTCATTAATGCGTGACTTCTCCACATTCTTCCACATATCAAACACCTATCGACAAATCTTCAACTTCAAACAATTTTTTTTTTTTTTCTCTAAATTAGAGACAAGTTTTAAATTGAATTGAAGAGAAAATACCTGGGGAATTAAAGGGACCTAGAGGAAGTTTGAAGAAGCGGATGACAGCCCAGAAGTAAGGATTGGTCCAATCTCCGTCATGTTGAAGGATTTTCAGGGCAAGAACGTTTATTATAAGCCTCTGAATCAAGGATTTGAGTGCTTGGTGTTGATGGTGAGTCTCAACGAGAAAAGTTGTGTGTTTGGTTGAATTATGGAGAGAATAAGTTATTTTTTTGGGTTAGGTGTTGGAGAAAAGTTGTATTTAAAAGGGATATTATGGTTACGGAGTTGCAGGGACATTACATTCTCCATTGTTCTTCAATTGCGTGAGCTGCCGTTTGCTGTTATGAATTTATGCAAGTTACCCTGAATTACTAGCCTTTTAATTTCACATTTTTCTTAACATTTTTTTGTTTTATTTTTAGAAATATTTTTTAGTTGTTTAATTTTTTAATTTTAATGATTTCTTTAAAAATATTTATATTTATTATTTACTAAATATAATTTACAGATGATAATATTTTTAAAGAATACAATAACAGCAACTACTTTAATATTCTTAATATTCCTTATTTTACTTAATTATGTTTAAATTATAATTATCTATAGATAACTCAGTGTTTTAATAACACACCCTGGTGAAACCCGACAAAGTGGTTGGGTCTTGGTTGACTAGTTTGACCGGCAAATTAATCTTGTCCAAAAGTTTGAAATATAACAAAAATACCCTTGAATTCTATAAGTCTCTATAGGTTTAAAACTTTGCAAAAACACCCTAAACACCATTGCCAACGTCAACAACCCAGGCAAACAGGGCTTGTTTTTTACGCACAAAACACTCATCGTCACTGCGAAACACTCCCCTCAGCCTCTTGACCAAACGCATATCACCCCTCCCCCAATTGCCTCACCAATTGGTTGTTGGCCATTGATTTAGTTTTGTGATTTTCGATCGATTCACTCACCGGAAATCACCTCTGTCACTGCCATTGCACCCACCAGCCGTTCCTCTTTCCCAACATCCCGATCTTCATTTGTTTACTGATCACCGTCCCATTTTTTAGGGTTTTCGGTGAATAGGAAAACGCTAACCTGACCAGATGAAGGCCTTGGGTCTTGCACTCATTCATGCTTCGCAACTCTTAAATATCATACACACATATTTATTCTTCATTCCATTCACCTAGTGGGGCAAACTGATTTTTCTATGTTTCATATCTTTATAATTTAACCCAAGCCAGTCAACTAGATTGTGAATCCCCTTTTTGGGTATATTTAGGGGCTAAAATATCATAATTTAAGTTTAAGGGTAAAGTATATCCACTATAGTTTGAAAACTTGCACTTTCATGCCATCTGTTCGAAGAATTATCAGCCGGATGTCTTCCAAATTTGAACTGGAGCAGACCCCATCTGCCTAATTGATCCGGTCGATTGGATTTGGCTTAGCCATTCTAACGACTAGGGCCAAGTTGGCGCTACCTTTAATCCAGTCGATCGAATTCAAAGGGTCAACTAATTTTTGTGGTTCTCAAATCCTGTTTTGGGCATAACAGCTATATTTTTGTACTCCCTATATAAACTCAACAAAACTCAATTTGAAATAACTTTGCACACTTTGAAATGTCATATTTATCAAAGCAAAGTAATTTAACAAACCACTTGAGCTTTCATTACAAATTCTTTATAACACAACCCTTCGTACAAATAAACTTTTCCTCTTGTAGATTGGTTTGTTTTATGCAAACCATATGTAACTACTCTTAGAGAGTCATTTTTTTACTATTTGATCATCCAACTTAGTTGTAAAAGATTGAGTTCACTTTTGAGTTTTGGACATTTCTAGTGAGAAAAAGTAAGTCCTAGTATGTGAAGAGGTTTCAATGTACCTTGTGAAACAATTGTGTGTAAGTCTTAATATCACTTATAGAGCTATTTGTATTGGATTTACCTGGTTGGGTATCAACCCAGGAAGATCATGGAAACTCCAAGCGGAATAGCTTGGAAGAATGGATGTAGCTTAGATTGGGGTTAAACCACTATATATCATTGTGTTTTGTTTTCTCTTCTTTTATCTCTTTACATGAGTGCAATTTATTTTTATGTTTAAGTATTTTCAATTGCTTGTCATTTTCCATATTCATATATTGCATTCGATCCTTCATATTTAAAGGCTTAGATTTTGTGTCAGGCACCCAATGGTTGAGGACCTGGGGCCTTATACATTGGCTTTGACAAGTTGTGGATGAAATTTACAGGGAAGGGAATGAGGTACTTTGTGAGGCATTACGAGCTCAACTAAAAGAATGATTAGAATGCACAACTTGCCAAAGTAGCCAAGAACCAACGTAGAGTATTATTGTAGCTTGTGGGTAAATAACAAGAGACGAGCACCAAGTAAATTCCAGAAGAATTGAAAGGTAGTTATCAAGTTACCAAGATCTGATGAATGAGCCCATAGGGCTTCTACCTCTTTGAAATCATATCACTGTATCCCAATTATGCTTTGTAACACCCACACGGAGGTATATAATTTAATTTATGTTTTTATAGCCCTTAGTTATTTTTGTTAAAGTTATTTTAAAGAATATGAAGAAAATGCCTTAAACTTGAATAAGGCAAAATGGAAAAGTAGTTTTATAAATAAGATATTAAGGGTTTGTAACCCTTATTTCTCTCTTTCCACCGCCACTTTCCTTCTCCTTTTCTCTCAATTTTTCACCAATTTTCCAAGGATTTTGAGCGCTTTTGAGTGGAATTTAATAAGGTTTTGATCCTAGCCCAAGGGGTAGAATTCTGCTTTATATATATGATTTATTGTGTAGAAGTTGAATTCTTATTAAGTTTATGCTTAGGTTAAGAGAAGGTTTGAATCCAACAAGAGTAGAAGCTTTAGTGGAGACTACTCAGTATAAGGTAAGTAAATTCCACTCAAACTCCAACTCAAGTTAAGGTTTAAGAAATCAATTGAGTAAAGATTTCTTTAAGCATGTATATGTTATGATTGTTGAGAAATTGAAATGAGATTGATGATTATTTATCTTGTTGTTGGATATATTTGAGCATGAGAAGTGTTTTTATTGTATGATGATGGTTGAAATTCGGTTGGAATTGGAAGAATTTGGGGAGTGTTTTGCCGTTTAGGGATTATGAGGATAATGGGAGTTTGGCTCTCATTTTGGATGGTTAAGAAACAAGAGAATTATAATTAAAGTTTGTATATATACATTTATTGTTTGATGAAAGGCCTAAAAGAAGTATAAGTATGAGTAGAAACTTTAATTTTATGCAACATTGCATATTTGCATTTCATGAGTGCATTTAAGTAAGAATTCTAAGCATGGCCATCCATATGCATATATTTGTTATTGTGTAATAACTTAAGAAGAATAAAGAATTTAAGAATAAACACCTTTAAGAAAAGAGAAAGAAGAAAAGCACTAAAGAATTAAGAAAAGAAAAGAATAGGTGTTGCGATGGGCAACCGTGAGTGCTAAGAAGAAATTCCCACATACACGCCACCTT